TATTAACTAGTACTTTTGCATTTGAAATAATACAAATATAATATAAACCTGGAAGAAGGTACCGAGTGAAGTGTTGCAAGGTTCTGTACTCATTCCTGTATGACTATATTTTCCCTTATTAGTGACTTGGATGAAAACATATATGGCATGTTTGTCAACAACATGAAACTGGCAGGAATAGCTAACACCCTGTATGACAGAATCAGGATCTAACAAGCTGAATCTAATAAGATGGAACTTAATAGGCATACACAGAAATGGGTTTAAAAATATCTACTGCACAAGCACAGGATGGGAGACATTATGGCTAGATAGCACCTTATGTGAAAAGGGCCTAGATTTATAAACAGCTACAATCTCAATATGAGTTTGACATTGTGATAATGGATCCAGAAAAAAAAAAAAGAATATAACTGTAGCCTCTGTTAACGGAAGCATAGTTTCCAGAATAAATAAATGCTTATTGACTTAACTTGATAGTCATAGTTCTCTGTAATCTGCCTTGATCCAGTTATATCTAGAATATTTTTGGGCACCAAATTTCAAGGTGAGTGAATGAGAGAAAGAACGAAAAAGCATTAATTCAGGGCTTATTATATCCCAAGCACTGCACTAAAGGAGGGGAGGGAGGGAGGGAAACAATTACAAAAGCTGTCAAGAAGCTTATATTCTAATGGGGAAGACACTGGGGGAGTGGTGGTCAGGAAGGGGCCCTTTGGTCCGAAATGTTACAGTGGAACTTTAAGGAGATGAATTGACACACTCCTTCCAGGAACAATGGCAGAGATGATTTGATCATGAAAAGCTTACAGGGTGAAGGAAGAGGGTATATCTGGAAGGCTGTTGGTGATGCTGTTGAGAAGATGGCCAGAGAAGCAGGAAGAATATTGATGAGGCTGCGCTTGTGAGAAGACTCAAAAGCATTCTATAAAAAGGTCCACTTAAAATATCAGAAATGTTTAGGCTGAAAGAAAAAAAGACTTATTGGGGACATGACTGTGATCTTAAAAAATGTGAAGGGCTGTCATGTGGAAAAAAAGAAGGAAAAAAAGGATTACACTTGTTTTACTTGACTCAAGAAGGCAGAATTAGGAACTCTGGGTGAAAGTTACAGAGACACAGAACTTCTTAATAATTAGAGCTGTCCAAAGGTGGAATGAGCTGCCTGGAAAGATAGCGAGCTTCACATCTCTGTAATTCTTCAAGAAGAGGCTGGATGACCAGTTGTCAGTGATGTTAAAGAGGAAATTCCTCCTTTAGGTAGAAATTGGATTATATCACCTTGGAGCTCTTTTCTAGTTACAATTTTATGATTCTATCTAGGATAATCTCATCCCATAGAGAAAGGAATGAGGGATTTCTGTGTAGAAGACAGAGCACCATACTTGAATTCTTAAGACCTAGATTCCAATCCTGATTTTGATGTTTGCCAGCTCTGTAACCTTAACCTCTGTGCCTTAGTTTCCTCATTTGAAAAACACGAATAATACTACACAATGTATCTAACAGTTCAAAACAGCGTAGAATCTCAGAGTCAGAAGGGACCTTAAAGGCCTGCCTGTAGCTGAACAAGAATCCTTGCAATAATTCATAGAACAGGAATAGAAAAGAATGGACACCATAGCAGTTTGTCCCAGGACTGTTTCTATCTGATCCTCATTGAAGGATGAGAATGAGATCCATGCCACCCCCTTCCCACTCCCCCATCACTAAACTATACAGGGCCTGAATCATTATCACAGACCAAACCATTATTCACCATCTCCCAGAAATAACACTGATCCATGAAAAACTTATGAACAATGCTTTTGGTAGATGTTACCATAACAAATACACATCATTTTCAGGCTACTTGGGATAGTAAGTTTTCAAAATGCAGAGACTTAGCAAAAGAAATCAGAAATCAAGATCATATAGGAACAGGATAAGGTGTGTATTATTCCTGTTTTTCTGTCTGCTACTGGAATTCTACCAGGGATGCTTTCAGAGAGTCTACAGAGGATGTGATTACATAATAATACATATTTCAACTACAAAAAAAGCAATTATTTTATCTATCTGATCAGAGTCCATAGAAGAATAAATATAAAAATAATAATAGCAGGACAGCAACTTGTTTTGGGGCTGTTTAAATATGAACTCCATCAAAAAAAGATGAGCAAAAGATTATTCACAGCAACAATAATAAAATTATTAAGAGCAAGTAACAAAAAGCAACATAGAAGATCAGGACAGGTTGAAGTGATCTAAGTAATTTAAATTATCTTAATATCAGGGGGTGGTGAGGTGGGGAAGGTGGTAGAAAAGAGCCTTGGAAAACCTACAAATCAGAAGAAGGTATGTATTCCATTATTTGGTTCATTTTATGATCTCTCTATTACTTTTAAATTGGTGTATGTTCACTATCCCCTAAAATATTTCTTATATATTCCTCCCAGCATGTTCTTGCTTAGTTTTTTTTTCCATCACCTTAAATGGGCTCACTCATTTTCTTCACCTATGTAAAAGTTATTCATCTTTTTAAGATACAGTTCATTTCCCTTGTCCTCCATGAAGCCTTCTGAGACTATTTTAGCACTCAGTAATTCCCTTCTGATGAACCCCTATAGCATTCATTGTCTATCCCTTGTCAATTAATCACACACTGTGATACTTCTTATATTGCATTCCTGATACGGGGCCAAGCTACGCAAAAGCAGAGGGGCAAGAGATGGGAGTGCTGAGTGTAGGAAACAGCAAACAGACCCATCTGGCTGGAACATAGGGTGTGTGAAGGGAAATAATGTGAAATCAAGCTAGGAAGACAGGCTTTAGTCAAGTTGTGAGGACTTTAAATTCCAAGCTGAAGCATTAACATTTTATCCGAGAGCAGGAGTTTTTAACCTGGGTCTGTGAATTTAATATATATGCATATATATATATATAAAATACATATATATATATAATACATATACGTGTGTGTATGTATGTATAATGTATTCCAATATGATTGATTTCCTTTACAATCCTATACACACTATTTTACACATTTAAAAGCATTATTCCAAGGAGGGATTTACAGGCTTTATCTGTCAAAGGGGTCCATTACGTGAAAAGGCTAAAAATTCCTGTCCTAAAGTCAATAGAAAACCAAATAAAGATTTCTAAGCAGAAGAGGTATATAGTCAGGTTAGCATTTTAGGGAAAGTATTATGCCAGCTGTGTGGAGGATGGCTTAGAGAAAAAAGAGGATGGAAGTTAGGAGTCCAATTAGGAGGCTTTTGCAACAGTTTAGTTGAAAAGCAATGAAGATCTGTCCTAGGATTATGATCATGGAAGAGAAAGAAAGGACGGATAAAAGGAATGTGGAAGGGGAAAGGAGAGGAAAGAATGAAGGCTAAAACTGAAGTTGTTAACTGGCTTGACTGAAAGGATTAACAGTGCCCTCAACAGAAACAGGGAAGTCTAGAGGAGGAGTGAAGGTGATTTAGGAGAAAAGGTTATTCCCTTTGGGGCAAGTGAATTTGAATTATAGCCATTTTTTATTGTTATTTACTTTTTCATATGTTTGTATATACCTTTCCAATTAGACTGCGAGCTCCATGAGAACAGAGATAAAGATTTTGTGCTTCTCTGCATCCTCATAGCACTTAGCACATTTGCTTTACAAAGAAGAATACTTATGAATCAGTGAATATTTGGTGATTGGTTCCTATTTTAACTAAAAGATTTTCAGCAATGTCCAAAAGAAAACATACCTCAGTAATAATATGAATACTGGATTGCTGACATAAATAAATATTGTTATAGATGCTTTAAATGTGTCTAGATAACTATGAAATTGCTTTTCAGAATTGCTAATTCCTCTCCCATAGAGTGTATGACAGTAAACTTATAACTACACAATATAAAACAGCGTTTGCTGGACAATAAGTTACAGAGAAATGCTCTGTCTTCCAATAGAGTATAATTAAAACTATGAAGCTATTTTAGGATACCAGATGTTCTTCTTCCAATAAAATGACTAGAATTGACAAATAGGTGTGTAATTTATATGTAGATAAATTTTATAAATACATACAATACTAATGTGTTGTATATATAATTAATATGTGTTCATATACACACACATTATACACATACCTAGGGAATTTATATATGTATACAAAACATTTATACCTATATAAATCTCAATGGACATGCCATATAAGATTAATTTCTCATGCTCTTGACCAAAGCATGCAATGGTCCTTTCCCTGGAAGGTAATTTAGCAAACCTGAACTGTGAAATTAGACCTAGGAACAATGACCATGGTGCATGCAGGCATCACAGTTCTGGCTGAAAGTCCCTTCGTCACTTTGCTTTTCTTCTACTCTTATCAGTAATAACCAGAGTCAGGGTTGCTCTTGTTCAGACAGGCTGGGAGTCACTTTCAGGTGGAGTTCAAACACCAAACCCCAAAAGACACTGGTGTACAATCAAACCTTGTGAGCCGCTGGGAAGTCAGCAGATACCATATTTGGTATGGAGGCATTATGAGGCTTAGAATACCAAATTAAAACTGACTAGGGAAGGCCAGGAGTCCAAAATGTTTGAGGTACTTACTCTTCTTCCAATATACAAAGATCCTTTTTGTTCTCAGTGGATGGAAACCTATTAGTTTCTCTACTTTGTTAAGATGTTCCTAGCTTGTTGATATTCTGTGACGTGACTGCAGTACCTGGGTGGCTAAGTGCTACAAATGAACATTTTCTTTCTTTAAAACATACATATACAAATATTAGGTGTCCCAAAAAGTCTTAGTGCAGTTTTAAGCTTTAATACATCAATACCTTAAGATTGTACTAAGACTTTTAGGACACCCAGTATATATAGATGTTCAGTTTTCCTTTTGGTTTCATTTTTTTCTTCTACCACCTATGCTCAGCTCTCTTAGCCACTTGGAGATCATTGCAACATTTTGCTATAAAATTCACACAAACAACCGCATTAAAAAAAAATCTTAAAACACCTGTCTTACCTGCAGTTCCAGAGAGTTCCACACTTAAGGTTCTTTCAATAGTCTTGTTCTCAAATGGGGAACCCTTGGGATCACTGGAAGATAGGGCACATTTATAAAAACAAGCTGAAATGGAGTTGCTGTAGCCAAATGTATCAATACTCCCTCCCCCTTTTTATAATGTTTACCCTTCTTAATACTTACTTTGGTGACTCGGGTGTCAAAGGAAGTGATAAACTTGTTGGTTTGGCTAAAGGAGAAAAAAAAGAAATTGATTATGAAATATTGAAAATGATGAAGATTTTTTTTTCTACATTGTGTCTTCCAATAGCAGAATTTGAAATATGCCTGGAAACCCAAGGACTAAGCGAAGTCATTCAGGAAGAATAGTTGATCAAAGTCCAAGAGCAACTGTTTAATGGGGGCACTATGTTTATAGTCATTTGAAAACACAGAAAACTAAAACTTTCCCCAAGACACGCGATCCATGTTAAAGGAGGGAAATTTCACACAATACCACAGGAAATTGCATTTTTCTCATTTAATTGAGAATGTAGGATTTGGTTTGTCTAGAAATGAGAACAGCAGAGTAACTACAAGGCAACAGAACGTTATGAATATTCAACTGATGTTACTTCAACAATGTAGAATTTTACATCTAGCTCTGAGAATAGGTTGCTTCTATGAGGCCAAAACTCAGTTCAGAATGATTCACGTTACAGGAAATTGTTTGCTGGATTATGGATGCTGGAAAATGATGGGTATAAGCAAAGGTGGCTTATAGAGGTCCTTAGAACCCTCCAATACTGTAGCATGAGGGAAAACTAAACCAAAATATTGCAATTTTGTCTGGTGACACCCATAACAGTTCCAATGCAAAGTCTCTCCCCCTCTTTCAATGCTCATTTCCAAATCTATCTCTTACAGGCATTCTTCCTAAATTAGAAAGATAAAAGATAACTCTTCTCACCCAAACATATCTGACAATTGCTTTTCCTTTGGCAGCCGTGTACCATGAACAGAGGGGAAGGAAAAAGAAACAGATTGATCAAAAAAGTATGTATGGGTGAATTTGCCTTAGAGGAAAGTGGAAATTTAGCCCCTTTACTTGCTTGTCTAAACGCACAGACAATAATCAACAAATAATTTATTTAATTCAATCCATCAAATGTAGTTGCTAAGATAGATAGAAACTGTTTTACTGTGTCCAAATTAAAATCTGAAACAAAGTATTTTACAAAGATAAATTTTATTTATACATCCCAAGTCATGAGATTAGATTTACGTTTTAAAATTAGCAAATGTTATATCATCATCTATCGAGTGTGCAGGAAGAAATACCATTCCTCACAATTCCTTCTATATATTAGTTACTTTGATTTATTGGGGTTTTCAAATATAGATTAATGAGCTGGCTTTATTTTTAGTTTGAGTATATTCAATATAACAAATCCCTTAAAATTATTTAATACATTTATAAGTGGGCCTTTCTGAGGGTAGTAAACTTCAAAAACATCACGAGGAAGAAAATTTTTTTTTCTAAAACAAAACTGAGTATGAACTTCTTTTTGCTATATTACAAAATAATATACCTACTAGCTTATGATGGCTGAAATGCTAACATAAAAGGTAGGTGCCTTATTTCATTTCACTTACATTTTTGTTCCAAACCTGTGATTTCTTTAGTATAAGACACTCTTTCTTCCATAGATGTAGACTGGCACCTTTTTTTTAAAAAAAATTTATTGTCTTCAAGATCTGATTAGTACACTAAAAGGTTAGACCATTCACTTATATTTACCCCAACAGTGGTCAGAGGCAAAATCTGAACCCAAATTTTCCCGTCTCTGACACTACTCCACCATTCACTACGTTTCTCAGGGAGTTCTATAGTGGTCAAAAATTCCAAATGCAAGAAAGGAGAGGGCAATTACATTTAACAAGATCAAATTCTAATAGTAAATAGAAAAAAGTTAGAATGCTGCCTATGTTAAGCCCCCTCCTCTATCAAGCATCTCATCTATAAACGATCTTAGTCCTCATAGAAGTAACTGCTGGGTGACTATTGGCCTGCAATTGAGCTAAGAACCCAGTCTCAGCTGCATAAAGCTAAAAGCTAAGGTAAAAACCAAAAGCCACATGCACCTCAAAGGCAATCTTAATCTCATGGTTTTTATAAAACAGTAAGTATGAGAATCATACATAAAATACTGTAGCCTTCAAAAAGGTAATGGCTTATTCAGTATTTTCCCCACTCTTTTGTGCTTGTTATCATGCTTGATAAAAAAAAAAGTCCTGAGGGTTAGGCAATTCCTTACTGGCTAACAGGCATCAACAACATTCACTTGGAAAGGAATGCCTTTTCCTCAGATGCTAAGATTTAGGGTTGGAATGGACTTCAAAGGTCCTTTAGTCCAGACCTTGTATTGTACAATATAGATAAGGAAACTGAGGATGGGAGAGATTTGCTAACTAGCCCCAAGTCACACCTGCACCTGTAAGCAATCGAGCTGACAGACTCAGATGCTCTGAATCCAAGCCTAGAACCCTTCCCAGCACATCACAAGCCGGTTACTACTGCTTTGGGATAAGCCTTATTTGAATATTCACAGTATATTCACAGGGAGAGAAACAAACATGCAAAAGCTAATGACATCAATGGCAGGAAACATTTTCTCTTCTAAAATAGACCTTTATATTATATTTAGTAAACTTAGCACTTTATAAAGTTCCAACTATGCTCTAAAGAGGAGGGGAAAGAAACTATTCAGATTCTGATTAACAGCCAAGAAAGCATCTTCCTTAAAATCCAGGTTTGCTTTCTTGCAAACACTGGAACAGAGACCTGGGGATGGCCCATGAGAAATCATGCCTCGTGACCCTTCACTTTGCCCATTCCAGACTTCACCTGATGACTTCTGCCCTGATTGACTTGCTTCATCTGCTCGAAAACAGGCAAACCTTCAAGTTTGCATGAAAGTGGGTCATTGGGAAACAGAGGAGTCCAGAACATTAACTTTATTTCAGGGTCTAGATAGGAAGGGAGGGCTAGAGGGTGACTAAGAGCTAGGTATCATGGAAAGCCAAAGGGAGAAGTTACTTAGAGTATTAGAAGATGTTCTCACAAGATACTATGCTTATATAAGGGAAGGAAAGGGAAAGGAATAGCAATTTGGTAACCTGGGAATGAAGATGTTTACTTAAAAAGAAAAGAAAAAACAAAACAAAACAAAACAAAAAAAACAACCACCACCATCACCACCCCCAAACAATTAACATACCTGTATGTAATTATCATGGTTCAAAACAGGGATCAGGGGTTGGGAACCTGTAGCTGGAAGGGGAAGTTATAGGAAACAAAAGAAAAACAGGGTATCTTTACACCTGCCACTTCAGAATACACCCATTTCCACTGTACTGTAACAAGTTCTACAGGTAGACTCAAAGTGGAAACAGGCATATTTTAAAGTAAACAGTAACTTCAAACAAGCTCTCTTGGGACTACAAACCTATACTATGGGGCAATAAAGGAAAATTTGAAAATTACTCAAGATAACAATAACTTGCGTTTCTATAATACTCTAAGTTTTATAAAATATTTTCCTCACAACAACCCTGTGAGGTAGGTAGTACAAGTGTTTTACCTCCATCTTACTGATTAGGAAACTGAGACTCAGACAAGTTAAATGATTTGCCCATGACTAGAGTGGTTAGTAAGTGTCAGAGTCAGAACCGAAACCCAGGGCCCTTGGATCTAAGTCAAATCTATTGGCAGAGACTCAAAAAAATCTTCCAGGACTGACTTGAACTGCTAACTCTTCCAGCCTAGGGCTAGACAAGAAAAGTCAACTGATATCAAATGTTCAGTTTAGTCTCAATGATCAGCATTTTAGAAAGAATGAGGGAAGAAATGAAGACTTGAAAACCTTATTTCTAAAGTTACTATCCCAACCAGCATCAAGCAAACAAGCAACAAGCATTTACTAAGCACCTACTATGTGCCAGCCATTGTGCTAAGTGTGAAGAACACAAAGAATGCAAAATGAAATAGTCCTTAAATTCAAGGATTTGTATTTTATCAAGGGTAAAAACATACACGATGCAACAGGCAATGGAAATTAAGCATTTAAGTTCAGGAGAGGAACTACAAAGATACTGCTTTGTGTTTTTCAAGGGATACATGGCAAATTCATCATGCGTTCCTTCATTTTTACACTGGCAGAGGAAACAACCCCCTCCCCCCCAATTAAAAAAAATCTCACTAAGGAGCTGGGTGGACCAGCCTGCTAGGGCTTCAGCTATCTTAGTAACATTCATATAAATCTCATCTGATGTTGTAATTCTTAGTCACTATTTCTCCCCTCACCCCTAATCCCAGCACTCCAGTGGACACTTCAGATTCCTTTTGTGAGGTGTGATTTAGCCCGCATATTGGCTTAAAAACATTATGTTAAAATAATTTCCAAGGAAGAGTTGTCCTCTATTCCTGGTCCTTCCTTCGGCAGCGAAGAGCTTCTGACTTTTCTGTACACAGATAATAACGCAAGCAACAGAAGCACCAATCTTTCTCAGAGTCACTGAGCTCTAGTGCCTCATCACTGACATCTCAGCCAACATCCTGTCTTCAAGTCCCAAGCCTACCTTGCAAATGATGCGGCTGAGACTGGAGATGGGGCTTCTTTTTGGAAGGGCATTTGTCTTTGTTGCTGTTCCTGCTCTCTGTTGGTTTGGTCTGGGGAGGGTCATCATTTGTAGTCAGATACTTGAGGAGCTCTGAGCAGGGACGCCTTTGTGGCTTTTGCTGTTGACAAATGCTCTTCGCTTTATTGCTCCATGAATTCTCGGTCTTAAAAACAAGGCACAAAAAAAAGTAAAATTAGTGAACTGAACCTTATCAGAATGGATATAGGTTTTCTGAAGAGATGAGATTTTCAATGAAGTGTTCAGTCTAAGTGTACTAGATCTATGAGCTGTGAATAATTGTTTGCAGAACAAGGAAAGAAAATTACATTTAAAATTCCTAAATGACATTTATGCAGCGTTTTATTTCATTTCTCCTACATTTCAATGTTCCTACTCAGCAACATGTAACTAAAAAGACCCTACAGCGCCTTTACTGTGAACCCAAAAAGAGAGAGGCTGGTTTAAACCTTAATTTGCTGTTGATTGCTTGGGCCCAGTATTCACAACTCTCTTAAGTACCCCTAAATGCTCCGTTTTCAGTTACAGTGAATGGCAAGACAAACATTGTTTAATACAGCCCACTAACAGAATTATGTCATTGCCAGCTCTCCATCCAATTAATAGCTGATAGAGATCTTCTGCTGAGATTCTAGAATTATCTTTCTAAGTTAGACAGCTGGTCAAATGATAATCCTATATCTTAGAGTTGCTCATAAACAAGACCAGCCAATCAGAAAAATTTTATTGGGCACTACAGAAGTCCATGGGCTAATAATACAGATTGAGTAACAGACAATAGGACTTCCCCATTACCCCACCCCCAAACTGAAGCAAAATTAAACTATTCATAGCTTAAAGTAGCTTAAGTGATTTTTCTGGAACCCATCCCATTTCATGTTCTACATTTTTGAAATCTTTGCAAGATGCTAGCCAGATTAATACATATAGATCTGTTGCTTACTCCACACTGAAAGCATAAACCTCTTTGTTACTTTTTCCCCCCTTATTACAAAGATTAAGTTTGTACCTTAACAACCGCAGGGTTTGTTCTGATCCTATGATTAGTATTTGCATGGTTCTGAGTACTGAGACCACTGCATTCATTATAACTTAGCTGAGTGTTGGCTGGAGCCAGTAAGAGCTTCTTAAGCTATAAACATATCAAGGAAAGGGAAAAGAAAGAAAAGTTATGCATCTTTAAGGATTAGAATACTTTATTAGAATTTTTTACATATTTACTTAAAATTAGCTACATCAATCTGAACAAATAGAGCACAGCTCAAAAGAAATTTAAAAAATAACCTTTAAGTAAAAGGGTTTGAAATTATATTAAAGATTAATGGAGGGGCTTCCTTTTCTGACATTCTAGGTGGTGCAAGGGAGTGGGTAGGTGACTGGTGAAGATTCCTTTGTTTTTGTTTTCTTTTCCCTGTAAGGTAAGGCAAAAATAGTTTCTCCCCCCCAAGAGAATTCCCCACCCACTACCACTAGCTCATAGTTCATTTGAATAAGAAAAGCTTTCAAGACAAAAAGGGGAAAAATCAAATTATCCAACTGAAGTGCTTGTTGCTGAATGAAGGAATATATTATTTTGAACAGCATCTACTAGTACTATTAAAACTTAGAGTGCCATAAGATACTTTGGAAGAGGGAGTAGGATAGGAAATCTGCTTATAAAAAGAAAGAAGAACAGTAAAGCATCATGAGATCAAAGATTTAGAGCGAGAAGTATGACAGGAGACATCTAAACCAACCTGTGCATTTTACATATGAGGAAACTGAGGAACAGAGAGATTAGGTGAACTGGCCACAGTTACACAGGTAGTAAGTGACAAGGGTAGGATTTTGACCTAGGTCCTGTGACTCCAAACCCAGGACTCTCCACCAGGCCATTGTGCCTCCCTTCCCAAGACAACAAAGTCAGCCACCTTTATTACTTAGCTATTGCTGAGCATACAAGTCCTCGTGAAAGGATGGAGTAGAGCATCTAACATGAAAATGAAGTGCCCCTTGCTAAGACACCATGTGTTAAGGTGAATGTACACCTATGTACCTAAGAAAATCTCAGAACTGAAGCACATCCTATGTCATCATTTCCGTCGCTAGACTAGAAATCTCCAAAGTCTGCTTCCTAAAATTCTGGGGTGTTTTAAAAATGTATAGATAGGATATGAACAATCTGTAGGGCCACAACACCAGATAACCATACACAGTATGCCCTTGTGTTACAAATGAAACAAATAGGAAACCTGAGACAAAGAAATGAAACATGGCTATGGTTGATGAGAAAGGAAGTCACGTATACCAATAAAACATCACAGAAATGCCAGGCATCATTTAGTGCATCTTTCTCTACTCTACCTAAATCTGCTGAAATTTTATTCTGCCTCAAGGACCAGGCAAATGCCAATTCCTCCATAAAAATCACCCTTTTTTTCTCCAGAAACTATGCTGGCTCCACTTCCTCACTGCCCACTCCTCAAAATTCTTGCAATATGGTTTCTAACCCTATAACTCAACAAAAACTCCTTCTTAATGTTTCTTAAAGAAATCTTAATGGTGAGCATCATTAGCCTTTTCTCAGTCTTTATTCTCCTTTTTCTCTGGGCAGCTTTTGACACTGATGAACACCCCTTCCTCTGGGATACTCACTCTTTCCTCACCTATCATGAAACTCCTTTTCCTCCTCCTATTTATCTGACCACTCCTTAATCCCTAGCCCCCTTCATTTTTTTGCAATCTTGTTGTTGGAGAATTTATCAGTATGTTTTCAGGTACCATGTCCATGTAGATGACTCTCAAATCCATATATCCAGTACTACTCTCTCTCCTATAATCCAGTCAAACTATCAAATGCCTGCTAGATATCACCTTCTGGATGTCTTGTAGGCATCTTAGGTTCTGATTCAAAAGGCTCAAATGGATCTCCGATTTAATCAGTCTGAATATTCTCCTCAATGATACAGATCTCAACCCATCCATGACTGCCAATTCCGTGGGTCTCTTGTCTTCCCTTCCCTGCTTTCTCGTGACAATGAGAGAAGACAAGCAGAGTACCCTGGCTGTCCATCTATCATTCCTTGTCCTTGTGACTACCCCATTTTTTCCCCCATCTTACATTTCTCTGATTACAGCTCTTACTCTTCTCAAAGTTCCTCATCGATTATGTGTTGCAGCTGCATACAGCTACCGTGGGTTTCTCCACTATTCTCTCTGAGATTATTTTCAGTTCTTCAGAGACTGCTATGTTTTATGTTTCACATCCATGTAACACCATAGATAGAAGTCTAGCATTAAGAAAGCTGGGCTCCGGGGCAGCTAGGTGGCTCAGTCAATAGAGCTCTGGCCTTGGAGTCAAGAGGACCTGAGTTCAAATCCAGCCTCAGACACCTAACACTTACTAGCTGTGTGACCTTGGGCAAGTCACTTAACCCTGATTGCCTCACCAAAAAAAAAAAAAGAAAGAAAGAAAAAAAAGAAAGCTGGGCTTTCTCTCAGCGATGTTATAAGAGCTTGATCATTTTCTGAAGGTAATTCAACCAATCTTTCTCCTATTTTTTAATATTGAGTTATTTGTACCATCTGTCCCAGGGACTATTTCATTTTTGTCTTTGTATTTTATCTTGGACACACAGCAGAGAGTCTGGCATATAGTAGGTGTGCAGTAAATGCTTGTTAGCTGATTAATAGATAGGTCTCATAAAGATTTTGTAAAAATGGGAAAGTAGCCAGATAGGTAGATTGCTGAGGTTTTCTCAGCTGACTTTTTCAGTATTAATAACTAATTATGGATTGTAATCCCTTGTAAAACTTTTTTTAAAAAAACAAGCATTTCTTTGCAAGTAAATATTCATATTTTCCTTCTCGCCTTTGAAATCTTCCCCTTCCTTAGATATCTTGTTATTGCTCCCTCAATGATCTCACAATTGTATCACCTTAAGCATCTATCTCTACCATAGACATTTGTTGCACTTTGGCTATCTTCTCCATGTTTTTTCTCTTTAGTGTAATTTCTACTTACTCTATAAATAAATCCATTACCCTGATGCTAGAGTCCAAGTGTAGTAACTCTTCTGTTCTTGATATTGAAATCATACTGTTACAAGATCCTTGAAGATCTTCTCCAGTTTTCTTCTCTTTGTTTTCCTCCTTACATTTTTTTTCCTTAAATGCCCTCAGAATAATCTTTCTTAGCTGAATCTCTTACTAAGCTCTTTAAAAATTAGAAAAATTAGAAGGAGTTGTATCTACATGGCTGACTGGGTTGAAAGATACCCTTTGAAGAGGATGGAAAAGAGTTGGTAGAGATAGTTTTATTGTACATCCACTGGTAATAAGAGTCATTATTTCACGGAATATTTAGTTATCTCATATTGTAACACTCATGATAAGCATTTGAAAAATGATTCAGGAAATGCATCAACATTGGTTGTAGAGGATGAAGAGACAGTTAAGTTCTCTGAAGAATTTGATAAGAATCCTCAAATTAAATTCAAATCTAAGTTGCTACTCTGACTTCCATGTAAGGGTGGAATGGGTGAGGATACTGAGAAATATATTGCAAAGTTGGTACAGGAACAAGGAATGAGAGTGATCAGACTTGTGAAACAGAAGCATCACAAAAATTTTTAGGGAGAGCAGGATGATGGGGGCAGTGCAGAGAGTGCTGGATTCATAGTAAGAACATGTGTTTAAATCATGGACTTGCTATTAGCTATCTATGAGGCCTGCTCTAGGTCCTTTAACCTCTAGGGACCTCAATTTTCTAATCTGTAAAATGAGGAACAGGACCAGACTTTGAAGGTCCCTGTCAGCTCTAATTTTAAGATTCTTTAAGGTCATGAGGTGAGGACCAGATAACATCACAAAAATAAAAGTTATATTTTAAAACAGGAAAATATTTGTCATTCCTGAATCAGATGCAAGCAGCACACAGATTTGTCCACAAAAAGAGATCTCAGATTCAACATGACCAAAACAGAATTCATTATCTTCCCTCCCAACCTTTGTATTTCTGTTCATGGTTCTCCCTGCGTCTTAGGGTCATCTTCACCTCTTTCTCTCACCCACCATGTCCATTCGGTTGTCAAGTCTTGATTTGATGTTCCTCAAAATATCTTGCATCTGTTCTCTTCTTCCACTCACATAGTCACCACTTTAATTCAGGTCCTCATTGCCTCTGGCTTGGCCTACTGTAATAGCCTTCTAATTGAACTCCTTGCTTCCAGCTTTTTCCCTCTCTAATCAATCCTCTACACAACTACCAAAATAATCTTTCTAAGGCACAAACCTAACCGTGTCCCTTTCTTGCTCAAAAATCTTTCCTTTGCTTATAGGATAAAATATAAAACTCCTTAGCATGGCATTTAAGGTACTCCACAATTTGGTTCCAAACAATTTTGCCAGCCATATTTCATACAACTCTTCTTCATAAACTCTATATTTCAGCCAAATTGGAATACTAGCCAGTTCCTGAAATCTTTTATATTTCTTCACCTATCTATCATATCTGGAAAGCATCCCATTCTCATCTTTCCCTTTCAGAATCCTTTTATTCCTTCAAGGTTCAACTCTCATATCACTGACTCTGGGACACTTTCTTTGCGAATCCCAGGTATTAGTGTTCTCTCTCTTTTTTTATAGAATATTATTTGTGTACAAATTCAGTCCCTCAGCTCCTTAGTAGAATGTAAGTTTCCTAAGGACAGGAACTCTTGTTTTTGTATTGCCACAATACCTTCCACATAGTATGAGCTCAGTGAATTCTCATCTTGCCAATATCTCTCTTAGGTATTCATTGTTTTATTTATTTTTATTATAGTTACTTGTGCACATGACTTATCTCCCCTGCTAGACTACAAATGCCTTGGGGGCTGAAACTACATATTATTTGCCTTTGTATCATATTCAGTCCCTAACATAGAGCTTTGCAAACAGCAGTAACTCTGCTGAGTTAATGCTATTTGTAAAGCTCCATGCTAGGAACAGGAAAATAGTAATTCATTTCTAAATAGATTAATGAATGAAATTCACCACCTATTATCCAAAATATTATAGATTGTTCCTATCATACTGACAATCCAGGTTTTGGGGTTTTTTGGTCATTTTTTTTGGTTTACACATTTTAAAAACACAAGAACTTCAGGAAAGAGAGAAATTCTTAATATTTCATACTCTGTATGCTCTCAGGTTTTTGGTCTTTGCTGTTGTTTCAGTCTAAATTAAGAATCCAAACCTTGTTGTTGTTACATCATACCCATGTGGCGGGTAGCCAAAGGCAACTCCAATTCCTGTTAAACAGTAGGAAGGGTTCTTACTAGAGACGGCTCTTCTGCCTCCTGGGCTGGAGGGGTGCCGTCAGGCATAGGCGAAGGGCTAGTATCATTGTCGTTGGTCACATCTCCATCTGTCAGTGCATCAAATGAGGGCAATCCATCCTCATCCACAGGGAGACTGTCCAATGTTTCTGTGAGGACGGCTAGCAAGTTTGCCTCATTCTCTTCATCTATCTTCTGCAGAAACAGAAAGAGAGAGAGGGGAGGGCAAGAGAATGTGCTTAATCAGCATGGAATGAACACGTTTAACCAAATGTGCCAACGCATATGAAGTCATTCCTGACCACAGTAGCCCACAGTATTCTCTCCCTTCACTAATCCCATTTCCTCATATGGTCTTGGCCACACAACTGGAACCCTGTTGTATAGTACTACCCCCTAATTGTTGAAATTATGTTATTTAGCACTTTTATCATGTCTATGTATAATTAGACTATAAGTTCCTTTAAAATAGTGTTCAATTTTTAATTAAATTCCAAATAACTAGCAGATCACCTTTGCACATGGCAGGATTAGGGAGGGTGGGGGTAGAGGAATCTGGTAATGCAGGTCAGCAACTGCTCTGCAATTCACAGTCTTAGAAAGGATACCCATGGCACTAAGAGATTAAATGGTTTGCCCAGAGTCATATAGCCAGTATGTGTTAGCAGTGGATACAGCGGCTGGCCTGGAGTCAGGAAGACTCATCTTCGTGAGTTCAAATCTGGTCTCAGATACTTACTGGCTGTGTGATCCTAGCCAAGTCACTTAATCCTGTTTGCCTCAATTTCCTCATCTGTAAAACAAGCTGGAGAAGGAAATGGAAAACCTATCTTTGCCAAGAAAACCCCAAATGGGATCACAAATAATCGGACAATACTGAAAAACAACTGAATATACACACACACATGCATATATACACACACCACATACACATTAACCTTTTGTAATGGAGCTTTTGGGCAGTCTTGCAAAGCTCATGGACCCCTTCTCAGAATTTTTTTTTTTAATGCATAAAATAAAATACAGAGTTCTACAAAGGAAACCAATTAAACTGAAATAGAGATGTATTTTTTTTTCTTATCCAAGTTCATGGACCCCATAAAGCTTGTTCACAGACCTCAAATTAAGAATCCTTCCATGTATAAAAGGCCGAAGTTGAGCCCAAGTTTTTTTCTTGACCCTGAGGCTGGCTCTCTATGGCACCACACCGACTTTTGTTTTGCACCCTGGTACTGAATCAGCGTTATTAAATTTGAATGCTGTTACGTAACATGATCTTGCTCACAAATGGTTTCATGTGGATGTGGCCATTTTTCCTTTCTGAAATGTAGGTCCCTTGTGAGTAGAGTCCATGTATTCTGCTTCTTTTCGAAGCCTATAATCATTGTCACAGGGCTAGGAACATAGTGAATGTTCAATAAATGAAATGGTGATAGCTCATATTTCAAATGCATTTTGAAGTTTGCAGAGAGCTTTCCTTCTAACGGGCAGGCAAAGTAGGTTTTAAAAATATTACTACAATTTTACAGATAAGGAAACTGAGGCTCAAATAAATTAACTGCTTGTCATGGTTACAAAGTAGAGGGTTAGATTTGGGCCTCAAACTCAGAACTTTGGACTCCTTCTGTTATGCTTTTTACTTGCAATTGAATTCCAGCAGGGTACTTTTCCTCTTCCTGTCCCTGCAATTCATTTTTCTTGAAATTTTATTTATTTTATTCTGAACTTAAGAAATACAACAAGCCCTTCCATAACATAGTAGAATAGGGGGGTGATTACACACAAAACTGCAAATCTATTGATACAACTTGCTATTCCTTTTAAATACATCATAAAATTATCATATAACTTTTTTTTTTACTTTTCCTTTTATTCTTTCCTCCCACCTCCCTCACCTTAGACATGGCTACCAATAGACACAAATATGTGTGTGTGTGTGTGTATACATACAAACATATATATATGTGAAATCTTTCTATACTTA